CAAAGCACTTTCCGGACTAACTGGCCATCGTGAGATGCAGTTGGGGGTATAGCTCAGCTGGGAGAGCAGCAGACTGAAGTTAGCCACTCTAAACCCAAGCTCGTTCTGAAGGTCCCGCGTTCGATCCGCGGTACCCCCACCTGTGATCACTCCATATCTGTCTTTTTGTGCCTATTGAGTCAGGAATCCTGGCTGAGAAGATGTGAGTGCGATATGTAACCAGTACAGGATTTCTATATCTCCGTTCAAGTAAAAGTGAGCTTTGATTTCGAGTCACGACTGTTTCTTCTGCCTGTTATCATCAAGAACCTCAGGCTCCCTGGGCACGTGTGTGACACTGAAAAAACCAATCGTCGGGGAGAAATGTGATTGCTCTTGTCTCTGCCGTTGACCAACACAGACTTGGAGTCATCGAACCCAACACCACGTTACGGTTTTTCTTCACGTCAAACGCCTGGTGAATACCTTCATTCATCTGAGTCCCATACCGACTGATCTGATGTGTAGGGTGCCTTGTGATTGGGGTTATTGGGGATATAGCTCAGCTGGGAGAGCAGCAGACTGAAGTCAGCCACTCTAAACCCAAGGTCGTTCTGAAGGTCCCGCGTTCGATCCGCGGTATCCCCACTGAAGGCAACATTGAGGTTTTTTTGTTGTTGGTGTCTATGTCTATCTAATCAAGCTCGTGGGCGGTAATCAACGCGAGATGTCACTGTAGAGACGAACAACCCGCCAGCGTCCAGAGTTGGATGACCTCAAGCCAGAAGGAAACAACGACGACAGCAAGTTTCATTCGAACTTTTCTCTCTCTTTCGACTTGATTCCGGGGCGAGGTGGTTGGATGGAAAGCACTACCGTCATGGGGGTATAGCTCAGCTGGGAGAGCAGCAGACTGAAGTCGTTGAATAAAATAGTGTGACGCTCATTCTGAAGGTCCCGCGTTCGATCCGCGGTACCCCCATATAACACCTAGGCAGAGTCGTTTTTGTGGTGTCGGGATGGTCTCTTCACAACTGACTGTTTTTGTATGTTGAGGAGGAACGTGAATGGAAAGTCCGGTTGGTTTTGAGGGACGAGCGAATGATAAGTGCTAAACATGTATCAAATCGAAGAGCCCAAGATTTGGAGCATGAGATTGGGAATCAAGAAAGCGTGGTTGATCTCCAACTACGAAGTTGAACGCGTGGTATCTCGAATCGTGCGCAAAGGAAGGCTCACGGGACGATTATTGAGAGCAATGTCCATCGGGGGTATAGCTCAGCTGGGAGAGCAGCAGACTGAAGTTGATATCCCATCCTCGTGAATTTCTGAAGGTCCCGCGTTCGATCCGCGGTACCCCCACTAACCAGGGCCCAAAACTTTTCGAGATTCCTTTTTTGGATCATCAACGTGTTATTGGTTGCGGCGATGTGCGGTGAGTATCGTTATCCCACCAATCAACCAAGAACCCAAGAACCTATGCACGACGATGACCGTGTTGTTTCCTTGGCGATGATGTGTTTGATTGACTGCGAGATGACGCGTATTTGCCTCCAAATCTAATCAACGTTCGTTCGTTATCTCTCCGGTGTAGCAAAGGAAAGGAACGACTCGGATCGGAATACCTATTCTTAGAACAAAAGAACCCCCAGAAGGTACGAGAACCTACACGCTGCGCAGTACTGTACACTCTAGAATGAACTCATACGGGCTGGGCGTATAAGCAACCCACTGTCATCGACATCTCCCGTCGGGATAAAAGCTGTTTACCGTCGGGTGTTTTTAAATGAAAAGGGGACACAGTGACACGGACGGGAAATGCCGCGGGCCGAGATGTCCGATGCCGAGGCGGAGTGTGAGAGTTGTGTTGAGGGACGGAGTGGTTTCTTTCTCTTTTACGTTTTCTAGTTTTCAGCTTCTTGGAGTAATAGCAACCTGTATAGAGCAGAAAGATCAAGCTATCCACGTCGAACGTTGAAACTGCCAGCACACGAGGCTCGGATGCCAAGGCACGCATTTGGGGTGAGGCAGTGCATGGATGACATAAGCGGAGCGGTTGAAGCCGAAGAGTGGATCTCATTCATAAGCAAGCAGCTCAGCAGACGACGTCGATCCACTTTTTTTTTTTTCTGCCCAGTTCCACGAAAGACTTTTCTGTCCATTTCCACGAAAAACATACGACTCCCCATAGAATCCATCCCAACAACCTAACGCCTAACATAGACGACCCCTACGCCGCTGCCGCATGCTATACGACTCAACACCCCAATACGAGCATTTCGCTCACCTCCCCTACGCCAAAGAACCCTACAAAGCCATCTACGTCTTCCAACGCCTCCTCACCACACTCCTCCTCGTCCCATACTGGTTCATCAAATACCTCATCCTACCCCGTCGGTACCGTCCCAGGGAGTCATGGTCTCTCCGCCAAATCATCTTTGTCAACTTTACACGCCGGATTTACAGGGTAACTGAAGTCGCTGGTGTTAACTGGGGAACTCGAGATCCTGACGCAGATGGGTCTAAGGAAGGATTGAAGGAGACAAGGTTTGAGTGGGCGGAACCGTTGAAGAAAGAGTTGAGGAGAGGTGTGGTGGTTGATAGGTTTGGGAAGGTGCCGTTTAAGAAGGTTGGGTGTTTTGTTTGGCCGAGAGAGAGGAAGGCTGGTGTTATGTCTCCTCGTACGTCTCCTTTCCTTGCTTCCTTCCCAACTACACCTCAGCTAACTCAGCCCCAGATTCCCAATCCGACACCCCCTCAGAAGACGACGACGTACCGATCGTAGGGATATTCATGCACGGCGGCGGCTACTGCCAAATGTCCGCTTCCGAAAAAGTCCGTACCGCACACATCCCTAGACGACTCATCAACGACAAACTGCTCCACGAATGCTATGCCGTTGAATACCGTCTACTCCAACATGCGCCTCTACCTGCCGTCATCATCGACGCTGCGACCGTCTACGCTCACGTCGTGGACAAGTATTACGGGGGTTCCTATACACCGGAAAGCAAGAAACGTGTCAAGATCATCCTTATCGGCGACTCTTCTGGTGGTAACTTGGTGTTGGCCCTGGCGAGGTGGATAAGAGATGAAGGTATAGAGACGGGGTTGGTGCCGATGCCTGATGGGTTGCTGTTGTTCTCCGTACGTCTCTTTCCTTCCTTCTCCCTTACCTTCTGGCGCTAATGCGGGATATAGCCCTCATGCGACGCCTCGCACGCCTTCCCGCCTTCACCTAGTACTTGGCATACACCCAGACCAAACGCAGATACGGATTATTTGACGGATACACCTGAGCCGAGGTTGTTACTCCAAAAGACGTTTTTAGGTGCGTTCTTTCCTTCTTTCCTTGCCTTCTCCCTTGTTCTTCCTCGCCTTCTTCCCCTTATGAGAAACGCTGACGCCCCCTACGCACGCAGGCTTCAAACACCAAATCGAACAAAACGACATCAACCAACGCCGTCTATTCTTCCTCTCTGGGATGGGCAACGTCCTCGTCGACGGTGTCGGTAGCGTCTACACCATCGGTCGTACCGGTGTAGGAAGCGTGTATAATCTTGGCCGAACGGGTGTTGGGAGTGTCGTTAACCTTCTCCGTGGCGCAGGGGGTACGAATTCGAACCCTGGGACGCCTCAGTTGGGGTCGACGACACCGGCCTTCGTAGGGAGTACACCTCAGCTTGCGAATGCGACGCCGGCTTTTGTTACGAACGCCGCCCAGAACGAGGAGACGAACGACATCGCGAAGCATCCCACGGATAAAGAGATGGAACAAGACACCCTTTTACAACAAATCATACACTCTGAATACGTCTCTCCCGCCTCACCCGTTGTACTCAAACGCTGGGGACACCCAGTCGATCTATACGACGGAGGATGGATGTGTGCCTGTCCCGCTGGCGAGGAAGGACAGGGGCAAGGGTGTGAAGAGGTGTGTGGCAAGCAGAGGCCGGGTTGGAGGAGGAGTTTGAAGAGACGGGTTAGTGGTGATGGGGGCAGGGGGCATACACATGTTGTGTTGCGGGGTAACGAGTCGTTTGTGACGGATACAGAGACGGATGGGACGGCGTCGCCGGAGGTGGTGTTTAAGAAGCCTGCTGGTCTAGGTGCGGCCGAAGGAGAAGCTGGGGGCAGGTCCAGGAGTTCGAGTGCTGCGTCGAGTGTAGCTATGTTACCCCCACCACCGCCACCTCACACCACCAACGCCGAGGACATACGATTATCAACTTTACAACACCCCGCACCACAACACTCCCAAGAGGCGCCTCGAATAACAATAACACCTTCTCCCCCCTCACCTTCCCCGTCGTCTTCATCTTCACCTACACTCGCGCCGTTAGGTCGGAAACACCGCCATCTACGTACACGCACACATGACCAACCCCAAACGCACGACCTTCCACATGCGTATGAGTATAAAGAACGTTACCCACGCTGGGGAAAGTTATTCGAAGGGTTCCCGCGTACACTTATATTATGTGGGACTGCTGAGCGGTTGACGGTTGAGGTGGGGAATTTGGTTCGGGGGATGGGGAGGGACATTGACGGTTCTTCTGGGTCGTCGGGTGGTAAGACGAGTGGAGATGGCGAAACGAAGGTGAAGATCCATTGGATACCTGACGCTGTACATGATGTGTTTATTATCCCACCTGGGTGGTGGGATGAAGATGTGAAGAGGAAGGCTTGGGAGGATGTTAGGAGTTGGGTTGGGGAGGTTAGGAGGGCGAGGGAGTGATCGAACGAGTGTGGGGGTGAGCGGTCGGACGAGCGTGGGGGTGTGGGAATAGGTGAACGAGTGTTGGGGTGTGGTCGAACGAGCGTGGGGGTGTTGGCGAATGAGCAGGGAGTTGTCGAGAGTACGTTTGCTTTCGGTTTTCGGTTTGAAATTAGATCGGGGTGTACGAATGGACGGTGTTGTATGTATTGTACTGCATTGCGTGTAAAAATAAAAACCTTTTTTGCTTGCTTCAGGCGAAGAACGGAAAAAAATCAAAAAAGATCTGGATTGACCTAGTTAATGGGGGTACCGCGGATCGAACGCGGGACCTTCAGAATAGATGGAGATAATGATCAGGCACTGCAACTTCAGTCTGCTGCTCTCCCAGCTGAGCTATACCCCCATGCTTTGTAGCAGTCTGACGCCGGTGGTGGCTGTTGAGAAAAAGAGAACCTACGTAGGTCTACAGCGAGGGTTATATTCTGAAAGTAAAAAGAAAAAAGTAAAAGTAAAAACTTGGTCTTACTATTGTTCATCGGGGGTCTCGCGGTTCGAGCGCGGGACGTCCAGAAGCGAGCTTTGAGGGCAGACGTTAATGTACTGCTCTTCCAGCTGAGCTATACCCCGTTCCGAGTGCGTCTCGGCGACGAAATACCAACGATGAAAGAATGGTAACCATTGTCGGGGTTGGTTTCACGCGTAGCGAGTGGATCTGAACGTTTCATGTCCGTTTATTGCGCACGAAGGGAACTCTGATCATGTACGATGTTGAAGAGATTGTAGGCTTAGCGCTTAGGCCCAGGACGAAAAACAAAAGCTACTCGTCCAGTACTAGATATTGGGGGTACCGCGGATTGAACGCTGCGAATATCGGACTTTTGGTGCTCTGACAGCTGAGCTATAACCCCCGTATGCGTGCTCTTCTCCTATGCGTCGAAAAACCCTCTGGTTGTGAGATTTGGGGTTAGAAGAGGTAAAAGCTTGAGAAAAAAATAAAACACATACGTGGAATAACAGTGCATATCTTGTGGCTCGGGAGTCGGATGCGTATTAGACTGGAGTGTAAGAACGATAAATTCTGGTCTTCGGCGCATAAAGCTTCATGTAAAAAAAGTATCCAAGATATCATGTAATTTTGGGGTTACGGCGGATTGAGCAAGCGACCTTCAGAATCAGAAATGAGATCGACAGCTCTTCCAGCTGAGCCATAACCCCCATGGACAATGTGCCTCGACGTGCTCTCCTGGTCGCATCATACGAGTACAGCCCGCTCCCAAAATTTGCCGTGTTGTACTCCATCCATGTTTGTGGTATTCGAGATTTGGGGTTGTTTTTCTGGATGGAACATCTCTGAGATAAAATGATATATTGTAAGATAGAGATTAAGGGACAATAGAATATCCTCGGCGACAGGCGTAAAAACAGTATGAATGCGAGGGCCAGCCAATTTGGGAGTACCGCGGATCGAACGCGGGACCTTCAGAATGAAACCCCAACATGATTACATTTACTTCAGTCTGCTGCTCTCCCAGCTGAGCTATACCCCCAGTGGTTTTGGATTAGTTTGGTGTATCTATACCTCGTTCGGGGTATCAACTATCCTGACACCAAGCTGAGGTTATCATCGTAAAGTCATTTTCAGCAATGGAAACAATCAGGCTCACTCTCCAAAGCAGAATACAGCCCAAAGTGAGGAACCCCCGTTCGGGCTAAATCTCTTTTCGAGTTATGTGCTCCGCAGAATGGCACGGAAGGATAGCGATATGACATCGACGTCCTGGTTAGCTTGCAACAATGTTATCGGCTTGAAGCCACCTGGATTTTAAAGGTATTTGGGCTGGCGGATGGTTGGGTCAAGTTTCGATGAAGTAGCAAGGGGGCCCACCAAATAAAAAAACACACCTTAGGTCGATTTTCTCTGTGAACGACCTCCGATAGACCCTACCTACTTATGTAATTATTCACACGACCCATATATAGTAATTATTCACATGAGATATGTTTTCTGCCACCGCCATTCTGATTCCGCACTACTTCCAAGAGCCAGAACACGCACCACCGTGACAGGACTAGGTATGAGGCTTATGAAACAGCCCTATGCAAGCCTGATGATACTACAATAATCAATGGTCAGCTATTTATTTGAAACAATAAGATCCATGAAAACTTAAGTACTTATCCGTTGTGTTTCACAGCCCGGCTTCCTGCAATATACCGCAGTGTCATCCACTCTCGTCCTCGTGGTCTCTCAACTAGACACCGCATAAGCAATTGAGCCAAACTCTTGCAGTCACTGTGTTCTACCTCCCACGTCCTGAGTCAATGTGGTGCCGTCAAGACCACTATCATCGTAGTTGTGACAGTCAATAGTTGTGCGCTGTGTTATCTCCTCACTAAATGGAAGTGAGCATGCCCCCTCCCCCACCCCCCCCCCACCCCCCCCCCCCCCCCCCCCCCCCCCCCACGGGTATATACACCAATGTGGTTGAGATCTACACCTGGTCCTCAATGAAATTGATTTGATGTATCAATGTGACGCGACCGGAACGTCTGAGGGGCAGTTGTGAAAGAAGAAAACAATCTAAGGCAGCTGCCTATCATGCCCAAATATTTTAGAGTGTCCAGAATCGGGCACCGTGTGCTCAAAATTCATTTTGGGACTGAAAAATTTGTACACCACAAGGCCTAGAACTTCCTCCGAAGGGTATCTTGATTAGGTGGTCATAAAATTTTTTTTTTTTAACGGTCGACGTGGACCCTACCTACACTAAACCCTAGGTAAGAGGTTCGATTTGGCGAGCCCCCTTGGGCTCATCCTGTGGCGTGGCGTTATTTATACTATCGAACCGTGCAACGAATCAGATAAAGCAGACAGCCTACTGTCGGGTTGCTTTGAGGAGAAAATATGGGGCATTGTGAAGGGTGGGGGGGGGGGGTGGGGGGGGGGGGGGGGGGGGGTGGGGGGGGGGGGGGGGGGGGGGGGGTGGGTGGTGGGGGGGGTTGTGAACTGGAGAGGATCGTCAGAGCATTGTATGGCGTTGCTGTATGATATGGACACGATAGAATGGAAAAGGAAGACTATATATAACCTAACGCAAATTGGACTTTCAAGTTGCGGCTTTGTGTGTACCTAAATGTGTCCAAAAAAGTAGTGAATGATAATGGGCGGTGTTGTAATGGACCCTATAATGAACTCGGAACATTTGAACCTCAGTCTGCTGCTCTCCCAGACGAGATACGCGTATATCGAGAGATACAACTGGCCCCTCAGCTCTTGGATGCTTCTGAGGTTATCCAGAGTCACCAGTAGGCGCTAAACAGAAGAAAGTCGAGCACACTGTGCCCATCTCTCCCATCTTTCCCAATGAGACGGGCAAAAGAAGGATCGCATCTTCGTATGGGGGTACCGCGGATCGAATGCGGGACCTTCAGAATGAAACCCCAACATGATTACATACTTTAGTCTGCTGCCCTCCCAGCTGAGCTATACCCCCGCGTGTGGTTTACTGGGCTTCTGCATGAGAGTAATTTCATCAGCGAGAACGGTGTCAAGTCATCGAAAACTATCCTCATGTCGAGCTGTATATCACCAAGTTATCTACGGACATGAAAGCCTCCATGATGCAAACAGTGCCTAATACAAATCATTGGCAGTTTGCACATCTATATTCCACTCTGCTGCCGAATTTGAGTTACAGATTAATGAAAGACTACCAACCAAACACGAATCACTGTCTTCCCGAGTCCCCGATTTCAGGATACGGTACTCGCTATTCTAGGGATCTATGGTCTTTTACTAAATCGCAAGCGTGTGATTAAAGTTGAGGTAGTGTTAAATAATAATCTTCAAGGCCGTACATGGGTGAATAAACGAAACTTTGCATTGTGATCGGTTTTCCATGAGGACGAAAAGATTCAAAAGACGTATGAGCACACCTGTTTCCGCGTCGCCTGCTCTGTTTTGCTGCTCCCTGCTTCCTCGATACCGTCCGTGGTAAAGGCTCGCTGTGTCCAGGGTAACCGACCAACCCAATTTCAAGATGAACAATGGTTTGAACGACGTGCCGTGGCGTTTGAGGGGACGTAGGTTGTAGGGAAGCAGCCGTCATCGTGATTAGAGATCAACCCCATTGGTTCTCTTCCCACGACCTCCCTTCTTCTTTTCACACCACCACGACTTGCCTGCGTTGCTGCATAAATTTCTCTTTGGCCGAAATCATGGATAACCTGTACGTATATGCTCTCTGAAATCGTCGCAGGTTCGATGGATATTCTTGTAGATCAAAATCACGGGATCCGACAGTGGTGCTTTACAAACATGTCGAGTTGATTGAGCCATGTTTCGTACAATGCGAAGCTGTGCTGGCCAGGTCACCCTGCTACCTATGGCTACTGGTTCGACGGTTCTCGATTCAGAATCAGTGCTTAGTGACAGGCCTTTGGCAGGTATCGCCATCGAGTCGGTTATCATTGATGTACCTGATGTGGCAGAAGCAATTCATCCTGTCGATGCACTCCAGCACGAGAGTCTGATGGACTAATTTCTCCCACTTTCTGCACGTTCGCCGCACAACCGTTATTCGGCCTGTGGTAGATGATCATGGCTTCATTCCAATCCATCTGCTTTAACCGACATAATACATCTAATATTTCGGCGATCAAATTTGAACGCGGTGGATCCATGGGCATTTTCTGCGATATTAATCATCGAATTATACTAGTAACTTCCCTTCCAGGATTTAAAAAGACATCTTCTACTATCCGAATCGTCTATACCTTTCATGTAGGTGGAGACTTTCCCTCGTCGACTTTCGCTGGCTAGGCGTTCCATGACAGCTTGCATCTAACATCGCCCTTCGATGTGTGATGACAGAATGTTCTAACTGATGATCACCGTCAGTGCCTTTTCATCATGATTTAAAAGAAACTGACAATGTCTTTTTCTCTCTGCAATGAGCTATCCGAACAGTGACAAATTTCCCCGGCGGATAGTTGTCGACGACACTGACCCTCGTATTGAATACGCAGGGTCTTGGCTCTCGGATGATACTAGTCTCCTCGATAGCCTGAGCTGTAATGGGCCGACATACAACCGTACCATGCATGGTACCAACCAAAACAACACGAGTTTCAGCTTCACATTCGAAGGTATTTCTCGCGTTTGTTATCACCTTTGTTTCATCGTTCACACATGTTATTACAGGGGACTTTGTATCAGTCTGGGGTGCCAAAGATACCCGCAAGACGGGACAGAGTGATGCCGACAAACTTGTGACATTACCCAGGTGGCAATGTCAAATCGATGGCTCCTCCATTCCTTCCATCGACTACTTGACACAGATCGACCGGCTCACTAACAACATACTCTGCGAGACAAGGGGACTTTCTACATCCTCTCCCCACACCCTTACTCTAACCGCGATCATCGATGACCCTGACACCCAGACATTCTGGTTGGATAAAGTTGAGTACGCTCCAGCACCGAATGCCAATGTCACTGGCAAAGTGATCAAAGTTGACTCGAGCGATCAAAACATTCGATACGACAATACTAGGAATTGGTTTCCAAATCTCGGAAATGGCATACTTTTTCATTATACCAAAACTAATTGGTGCTAGTGGTATCTTCACATTTAAATGGTGTGTGGTTAATCATAATAGTACACAATCGTCCCCTTGAACAATCCTTCTTGGGCTAGGAACAAGTGTATCGCTCTACGGCTTCAACGAAGGAGATATGAGTCAAAAATTGGTTACAAATCTTTGTATTCCATCGACAACGTCATGAGTCTCCATTCGCATACTAAGGCAACAGATCCTTGCCGTCCTAATAGCTCGATAGGTGTCGACTAATTACAACGAGTTCCTATTTTAGAGTCCGGATCTGGAGCCGGGGACACATAATTAACAATCACGTTCGCTGGCTTCCAACGTTCGCCCTCAACGTCGTGAGATGGTACCATGGATTTGACTGTCGACTAAAAAAACTTTAGTCACAGCCAGCGGGGGTCTATTGATTTGACCAATAGTGTGGAGAACCAAGGCGGTAGCTTCAAGCCTGAACCAGGTCCAAATGGGCACCAGTAAAGGCCCATATAGGCGCGATTGTGGGCAGCGCAGTGGGCGGTATAACGTTACATGGTCTGCTGTTTTTCGTCTTCATTAAGTTCAGGAAAAGGAAGATAGGCTCCAAGCAGATACGGACATTCCCGAACTTCAAAGAAATCATCAGAATTTCTCCCTATCCATATGTCATGCCGTCGATCTTCGATCCGAGGTCCTCGGATATGTTGCCACACCTTCCGGTTTTTACGTTGTTCACAACGAAGGGGAGAAGTGGGAACATACCAGCTTTCCAGAACTACATGGTAGAACCACCTCCAGACTACACAGTTGAAGCATAATATCGAACTAGGTGCTTTCCATTTATTATAACATGTATAGACTAGTGAATCTGAAGTAACTACACAAAGTTCACTGAAACATATCTTTGGTATGAATAAAAGAATTATTGCGACGTGTAATCCGGAGGAATATCGACAAAATG